TCCATTAGATGTTATTTCTTATATATCAAAGAAAGACAAATTCTAACCTACATGAGCAGACATTTTAATGAAAGACAATTTCCAGCCAACTTCAGCATTTGTGGGTATTCCAGTAGTCTTCTGCAGTAGAAATAGGTCAGATTTTTGTCAGTTAAGGAGAAAAAAAGTCCTTTGTTTTACATTCCTTTCCCCCCAGATTTGTTTTCATCATTGTATTCATAAGCAGGATGATGAAGAAACATGACATTTTTTTCCTGAATAAATCTGAAAAGATAAAAATCTCTTTGCCCTTACAACATGTATATTACCAGGATTTTATGGAAGATGCTACAGTATTACTTCTTGGTGACAAATCCATAAAAAAGTAAAGGAGCGGGATTTTGAAGGGGAGTGTGTGTAGGTTTTTTAGAGTTTTGTTTGTGGTTTTATTTGTTTGTCTATTTGCTTTTTAATTCTGATATATTTAGCATTACAAACAGTGTGTAGTTTGGGAAGCTTGAATGAAAACTCTGTTGTTCCTTTGAAATTCAGAAATCTCACCAGGGATTACTGAAAGAAATTACTCGGCTTTCATAAAATGCCTTCCCCCTCTGAAGCCAAACCCTGCACACAGAAAACAGGCTTAATGACTAGATAAAAATATTATGTGAAGACCCAGCATAGGTTTTCATTGCAAGCAAGGTCATGCTGAATATTATCACCTGCACTGAGCCTGCTACAAAGCAGATCTGTTCAAGGCAGAATATTTAACACTTTAAAACATATATAGTAAGAATATAGGGTTTCTCTATACTTGATTTAAGTATAAACTAAAACTTTGTTCGGAAACAGCTCCTCATTCTGGAGTGTGTCTGTACTTTTTTTAATGGCTGCATCAAAGAAAGTCATAATATTAACTGAAGGAACTATCCCCTTACATATTGTGCCTCAGCAAAGCTGTTACGCTTTTTTCTGTTTGTTTTATAATATTCAAGTACAGATATGCTGGAGATTCTATAGCAATAAGGATCTTTGTTAGACAGAGACAGAAATGAGAATCCCTAAGCTAAACCCGTAAAACCAATCTACCAGTAAGAAAGTTAATTTTAAGGGAATACCCTTCTGAATTATAAAAGCTGTGCAGAAAAAAAGCCATCAAAAAAAGAAGGTTCCTGAGGCATTCAACTTCATTTTTACAGGCTCATTTACTATGAGAAGTCATTCAGCTGTGCTAGTAACTCCTACTCTGTATAAGTCAGCACAGTGATAGCCAAAGTCCCAGGAAATCAAGCAGGACAATAGAAGAGCAATATTAGATGGCATAGCCATGTATGTTCTCATCAATATATCTGTAGGTTTAGTCATGCTTTTTGTCATCAGAGAGTAAACCACCCATTTCAGCATTATATGGCTGTCACTTTTACTTTGCAAGTTCATCCTCTGCCATTGCAATGGAAAGATCTCTGAACAACATTGCAGCATTATATGGCTTATTTATCCAAACTCAGAAGTCCTATAAAAAGAGTAGGAAAATCCAAACTGAATACACCAAAATTTGTTAAGGTAATCTTCTTTTGTCAAAAATTATTTATATGTGCTTCCTGAAAATGTCATTGTATGGTGAACATGCATAAATTTACCTAAATAACATACCCTTGGAGATGCATGCACCTTAAAAGCCTCTATTTCATATTTTAAGTAATCTTTGCATCATTGAAACTAGAGCTGGGACTGGTGTATGAGATCATCCTGTCCACACTACTGTTAATGCAAATCTGTTTCCTGAAGAATATTCTTAAATATTTCAGCTTGTCTAGTTTTACATTACTGTAAGTGGTCTTCAAGTCCATTGGGAGACGTATAGCACAATTATTAATTGTATTTCTCTAACACTCACCCTAAAATTTCTATTTCCTAAAGGCATTCTGCTATTTCTAGTTTTACTATTTTGGATCTACCTACAATTCTGGGAACCATTAAAATCCTAATCAATTCTGCCCTGTCCTTCATTTTGCATAATTTTAAATACAGAGTCATCACATTCTTCCTTGTCCCTTGGGTTTTCCTGTAGCCAAGAATGACATAATTTTCTTAAATTTTTCCTCAAAACCCAGTTTTTCTGACATTATAACAGTTTTTGCTTTGTTCAAAAACACCTCTAAACTTCTTAAAAGTTTATGAGGTCTACAAAAACAAGACAAAATTTAAAGGCCTTGTAGAGGTGTTATTTCTTTTCTGGTTTGCAGTGTGTGCACTTACAGTTTGCAATGCAGGGATCCTTTTACAGACTCAAGTTTCTACTTACTGTGATCCTAAAATTCAGCAATACCACTATGACATCTAAAATACCGTCCAGCTATCTTCAAGCCATTATGTGCTCTTATGGCTTTCTGGGTCTTTCCTATCCGTTTCCTAGTTCAACGTCATACTTCTTCTGTATTACTATTTTCTTTTTTTTTAGTATTAATTTAAACTTCTCTTTCTATTGACTTACTTGTCAATGTGTTGAACACCATAACCTTTGAAACCAATCTTAAACTTAATTTTCAAGTGGGCTGAATGGAACAGCAGTCTTCCAGCTCAAATCTTGAAGGCTGCTTATATTTCTCTCCCCAATGATTATAATGCCCTTTTGATTTTTGTATTAGGTGTTTGTTTAACTCCATGACTCTTTTATTTCAGCTTGCCACTAAATGAAATTCTAGGCTTCACAAGAGTCCAAGACATATAATAGGATGTAGGATATATATAATAGGATTCTTCTTTCCAAGCAGGAAATTTTTATTCCGTTTTTCTTGCTGTTACTACTTGGTTTCTTTGCTTATACTTGTGTCAGAACCACTAAAAGTGGACAAATTTATAAATAATGTAAAGCAATGCAAAATTTGGCAAAATCTTCCTGCTGCCCTTACTGCATTTCTTTTCAGACAGCTAGATGAAGATTCTCTGAAGATTTGTATATGCTTTCAAGTGGTTTATGTTGATTTAATCAAATGCCTGTTTTCTGGTTGCAAGAATAGAACTGTGATCCTCTTTTCTTTAGTCTAAGTTCAATTGTTTTATTGTTCATCTTGAATAAATGGCTCCTGGCTAAAATCTCAAATTTTTCCTTGCCTGAGATGCTAGTACTGTTTATAAGCATTTGACAAAGATATATTGTGCCTATCTGTGCCTAATGAAGCACTAACCAGACTAAATGATGAATGGCAGTTTAATCAATTCAGTTCATTTAGTAACCAGCAGAAGCATATGGAACATAAATTTTAACCTCTCTTTTATAAACACCTGATTTATTCTAAAATTTGCCTGCAACCATGTTTTGCAAAGTTTTCTTCCACTTTCTATGCCACGAGGAGCTTTACTTAATACATCTATGCTCTGGATTGTAGAATTAGAAAATGGTGATGTATATTTAATTTTCTTCTTCAAAAATTTGACTATCAACCCTCATTGTCCTGGAATGTACAATTGTTTCATTATTGGGTATTTGTCAAAGCCTGAGAGATGAGTAAAGGTTATTTACTGATACTTTTAGTTAAGTGGTATCTATAAGTACTCAGCTCTAGTCTTAATGAGAATATGCAACCTGTTTTCATTAAGTTGTTTTATTCTAGAACCGCTTCTTCACCAATATGTATATGCACACAAATCCTAAAATTAAATGCTGATTTCTGAATGCATCATCATGATGCATAAGCAATGAAAAAGTAGGTAATTACTACATTCCAAATAATTTACTTCTAAAAACAAAGTTAAATTAGAGGTTATTTATGTGATTTTTTTTTTTTTTGATACAGAAACAAAACTCTCAGTTTTAGGGGGAGGTGGTGCTGTAGTTAGTTAGTTGCAAATTCTTATTTCATTTTGATATATGTTTTGGGGATTTAAACATATTATTACTTTGAGTGAAGAGTGTTTTTATGTGGTTGTTTGCACAGACATGGTTGTACAGCGTACATGGGTGTTTGCATGTGAAAGTTCTAGAAAAATGTATGCAGAAAAATGTAATTGAAGAAGTTGAAGTATATAATCAAATTCTGCATCCTATTGATAGCCAAAAGGGAAGTTTTCTCTTAAAATTATTTTTGCTGGGGGAGCAAGCAACTTTTGAGCTGTTTTCATCTGGAGAAGACACAAGTGCAAGTTTGTAATTTGTTTTCCTTTTGAGATGCAGGAAGTTCACAGTTAATCTGGAATTTGAGATGGAGTCACAGAGGCTTTCCTCAACCTTTGAGAATGCATTCTTTGTGTTGTAGTTACTGTGCCTCAGATATTTTTACTCTCTGATTTCCCAGTACTTCTGCCAGTGGCTTAACTCAGTGGGATGAGGGGGACTCATGTGGAGTACGTTGTGTGGGAAACCAAGGACAGGAGCTGTAAAGGAGGTGGCTGGTGTGGGGAGAGGAAGGAGCCCATGGCTTCTCAGCCCATTGCAGGACCTCTCAGCCAGAGCTTCTGGGGAATGGGTTCAGCAACTTTTAAGCTTCTTTCATTTATACTTGAAGAGGGAGAAGAAATTCCAAGCAAGTACATCCCCAAAGCATTTGGGTGGTAGTTAAGTTGAGTGCCTGTGAGCAGCCATGTGCCCTTTTCCGTTTTGCTCACCTTTTCCCAGATTCTCCTCCTCCTATGCTGAGTGTGCTTCCATGTTGTTGATCTGTCCCTGTTCAGCTTGTCCCAAGGATGCTCTCACTGCCATTCCCACATCTCCTCAGTTTCTTCAGGAGCATAACTATTCTGCTTGGGAAACACTAACACAGAAATCAGCAGCTGAGCCTTTACTGGTCTCAACACTCACCAATCATATTCCTGCTACCTCTGTGCCTTTCTTCAAACACCTGAGAAGTGTTCATTTGTATACACGGATTTTAGCAATGCATTTAGCAAAATGTTTGTCCTTCCATTTGGCATCAATTAAAAAAAATTATTTTAACACTTGTAAAGGATACAAAAACATTATTGTTGGCTTTTTGGTCTATAAGAAATCTTTCTAACCTTACCTTTATTTTTTCCTTCTGTAGGGGAGTGGGTTGTATCTTTGTAGAAATGATTCAAGGGGTCGCTGCTTTTCCAGGAATGAAAGACATTCAAGATCAACTTGAAAGGATATTTCTGGTGAGTTCTTTATTGCTGAAGTAAGACAACAAAGGATCAATTGATAGATGTTCACATATTTCTTTGTGTTAGGAATTAAATGACCAATAAAGTCAAAGAGCAGAAGCCCAGTCCACAAGCTAGATACAGTTTACTTGATACATTTTGTGTAAAATGTTCTATTTATAATTTTTTTATATAATTTTTTGTTTGTTTATGTTTTGTTTTTTAAACAAAAAGTTTTATGCAAGTGTGGAAAAGCTTTCCAAATGTAAGTCAATGGAAATCCAGACAGCTTGTCATCGTTACTTTGCAGAGGACAGCTCTGGATGGCCTTATTAATATTCTACTAATATTGTAGTGTTAATGCCAAGTAGTTTTTTGTTATATAGATATATAAAGGAAAAGTAAGATAGTAAGTGAGGTGAGAAACAGGAATTCTGAAATCATGCTTAGATTCAGCAGGGATCCTTGGCTACAGCTTCTGCAGCCTGGTTAGGGCCTTCATGTGGGTTGCTCAAAGGCACTCGTGACACATCTACATTGTCAGTGAAAGAAAAGGTAATGTGTCTCAAGAGTAATGATAATTTGTACATTTTTCTACCCAGGGTTTTAGGTTTTGAGTTTTATTTATTTGCTTGGGATTTTATTTTCATTTGCTCTTTCTTCTGTTACGCTCTGGGTTTGGCCAGAGCAAAACAAAAAGGTTTGACCCCTACAAAAGGTTCAGGAACAACTTTTCCTGACCCCAATAAAGGTTTGTATCTGCTCTGATGCCCTCCTGGGAGCTGTGCTGTTGTGGTGTGGGTTTGTTCAGGGAGGGCACTGCTGACCTGAGTGGCTCCTGGTGCTGTTGTGTGGTCATCAGGGAAGGTATCGTAGGAGCAGCGTTTACCCCAATGTGTCAATCTCTGGATTGCTTCTGACCATAAATTTAGGAGGGAAACATGAGCATGCCTGTGCTTTCAAAGGTTATTTTGTCAGTAGTCATTTATTTCAAATGCAGAGTATTTATTTGGTATTCTTTCTTGGTCCATGGGGAGAGGAAGAAAGTCTTTCATAATACGTTTAAAAAATTTACATTCTTCACTTTATTCAGCCTTGCTTGCACTCTGTCTCTTCTGTTGGGACATCAGGGAATTTAGCAAATGCTTTTAGGAATGACTCATAAGAATATCTCTCTAAAACAAGGCCGTACTTGATTGTGATATAAATATAACTCATTTTCTAGAAAATATTTGGTTTTTATGCCCTTTTGGCTAATACCCTGAAAATTCTGTGCTGTGAAAGAATGGCTATGCTGCAACATAGACAGGGAGCAGCAGTTCTGAGCAGTTCCTGTGATGTGTCTCATTGCTTTGTTTGTTTGCCAGCTTGTGTATTTTAAGCTAGCAACCTCAGAGCTAGTTTCTGGCTTTTGTCTTTTAAACAAATTGTGCTTTTCATTTATTAATTTGAAATTTTCTCCTTATTTATAGAATATGAAATTTTGAAAGAATTAATTCCTCCTTTAGGGCTCATCTCATTTATTGCAGTAAAATCTGATTGACTGTTTTTGCTGTTGAAATTGCTGTTGAAATTGAGGGCACTTGTAACAGCAGAAATTAGGTTCTTCCTTTAGCAGGGCCTTATTTGCAATTTATTGTATGAGATTGTAAGATATAGTGCAAAAAGTGATAATGATGGGTGTATAATATAAATCTATTTTTGTATGCCTTCTGTAAACCTTTTGTATACTTCTATTTTTTTTCTCTATCCTCACAACTATTTGCATGTTAAAATGCCAAGATAAATGCAATCTAAGATGAATTCTGAAGCCTGCCAATTATTTTAAATTTTGTTTTTAAACTGAAGTTGAAAACACTGAGAACAGTGTTAAAACAACAAGGGATAATTTATTGATACTCTTTCTTTAATTTGATCTTTTGCAAACCATCAAATAAGTAGATAAAATTTTGGTCTGGATGTTTTATGGTCCATTGCAAATCAGAGTTAATTTTAAATCACAATTAATTAGGCTTTCTAATGGTAGTGTCTAGTTACCATTAGCTAAATAGTTTCAATGGGTGCCTTCCTAATGTACTCTAAGCATCATTAAGGCTTTAAGTTATCTATTTAAAAGTTATAAACCAGAGGATTATTCTTGTTTGGATTTGTATTTGAACAGAGGGATTAAATTAATTAATTCTCCAGTGAGTCATATATAGTAGGGCAGTTAACAGCACTGAAGAACAAAGTGAATCAGGTTGTTTTACCAGATAACTAATATGATTGAGTCCAACAGTGAGCACTTACATGGCTGTGAAAGAAACACATCAGCCAATAAAAGACTTGTGCAGAGAGTTCCCATAGTTCGTGTTTTCAGCACCCACCAGTGACAGTTCTCTTACAACAGAGGGGTCTCTTCTGAAAATGGTGGAAGGTACAGTCCACCTTCACTCTGATCCAGTAACCCCTTTGTTCAGAACTCGGAACAAAAAGGAACATTGATCTTTGTCATATCTGCTGCTGTTGTTGCTAGTCATAGCTACATGTCCTTAGTGTATAAGGAGCCAGATTGCAGCTCTTAGAGAATTGGTTACATTGAAGTACAAAACTGGAAAAATGTAAGAAATAGTAGCCAAGAAAAGTGAATAAAATTTAACATGAAAAACAATTTAAAAATATTAAATGGCCGATTTCCTATTGTTTAGTGGCCATTATTATGTAAATGAAATTAAATACATTTTATGTACATTGTTTTAGTAATTATCAAGTTGAAGTCAGAGAGATTCTCTAAATGTTTTTCTGTATCTCTACTGCTGACCTTCTTCACATATTTAATAGCAGAAATAGATGCAACACACCACACCACATATGTTTCTTCCTTATTATGAATGGTGTTTATTTACGTTTCATAACAGCTTAATTAAGTGATTGTGTATAGTAGATTGAGAACAATGGTTGATCTTTCAGTTTTGTTTAAGGACTTTTCTCTTTAAGCTTGTCTCATCTGACTTGTATTGATTCAATTTGTGGGTTTTTAAATGGTAATATACCCTGATTCTCTATTTCTATTACAGCAGCTGTTTTTAATAAGCGTAGTCAGGTTCTGTTACAAACACAAGCCTCAATAAAATAGCAAGGGTTTATACACAGGATCTGTTCTCAGAATCAGACCAGCACTTGGAGATGTTGATGAATAAGCAGCTGCAAGTTGTTATTGTCACACTTTGGATCTGATAACATGAATTCTTTTTTCTGCCTAAAATTAAAAATCTTGATAAGTTCTTTTAAAAAAGCTTGCTTACCAAATGAAATGGGAATCACACATATAAGTAGGTTGATTTTTCAAAGAGGTTTTACGGTGAATAAAGTACCTTAATGCAGAGGTGTTTTGATTTAATCAGTATGCAATTACAGTTTTGCTCCTGCTTTTTTCCTGCATGTTGAAACTGGGGTTACTTTCTGGATCGAAATGTGTCATAGAAAGTAAGAAAGGAAAGTGTAGTATCAAAGAATTAAATCATAAAGTCATTAAGGTTGATTCTAACCTTTGACTGAACACCACCTTGTCAACTAAATGAAAGTATTAAATGTCATGTCCAGTCATTACCTGAACCCTTCCAGGGATGGTAACTCCAGAACCTCCCTGGATAGCCAGTTCCAATGCTTGACAACAATTTTAGTGAAGAAATTCTTGCTGATGTCCAGCTTGAACCTCCCCGGGTGCAGCTTGAGGCCATTTCCTCTTGCTCTGTGGCTGGTTTTTGTATTTACAGCCTGTAAGAGCTAACAATTCTCTTGTCTCAAAGTACTAAACTAGTGATGTGTCATCATCATTTCCAGCAAACTTTTTGCTTTGCCATTCTCCGAGACAAGCAGCTTGGGTTTTTGTTGCAGGGTGCTGAATCTGATGGACTGAAGACATGAAGTGGTAATTTTAGCATTTCTACTTAGTCTTGCAGTATGTGCTCAAGACAGGATGAAACTTTGATCAAGTGCACAGTGAGCAGTTAAAATCATGAGAATAGGAAAAATATGTGAGGCAAGCTGTTGATTTGAAATAAAATTACACAAAATTGGGAAGTATCATTTGGCTTCAGATAAAGAGTAGCTAAGATCATTATCAGTAGTTTATTCGTGTTGATCATTTGTTAGCATACATATCTCTATATGCAAACTTCGAGGTTTTCACATCAAGGAGAATGTGCCATTGTAAATATAAAATTTAATTATGTCTAGAAGTTTAAGCTGCACCAAACGCCTTCAAGCTAGCCCTGTAACACGTAAAAAATTGACAGCTCCTTGGATCTGGTAGTGATCAGTATGAATTAGTTGAGTGTTAAAGCTGATTACACTGAGCAGCCTGCAGTATGCTTGTGCATGCCACACTGGAGATAGCAACTTAGTTACAGCTCTGATTTTTATATAAGCATGTGCTTTTATACTTGCTGTTCTTAACAGATTCAAAACAGATCAGAGTTGAATCTCTTGTGTTAGCTAAATTTTACTTCTGCAGAGATTTTTTTTAAAGTAGGAATATATTTCTCTCTTTCCTGTTTTAGGTGAGCTTTCTGAGAGCCACAATTGATCAAAGTGAATTTTCCTCCCAGGCTCTGAAGCCTTCCTGATAAGGGAATAATCTGTGCGTTGCCTGAACTTTAGCCTTGGTGCCAACTGCACAGCAAATTAGATTTCACTGCAAGAATAATGTACAAAGAGTTCTCCTGGTACTTTGTAGCTCTCTGCACAGGCAGGACAATGGCATTTAAAGGCTGGTTTGTCTGAAAATGGCATTCTCTCTGCAAACCTGGTTGTGGGAAGCATGTGCAGCACAGCAGCATCACACTGCAGGTAGGGTGTCACAGCAGGAGTGGGAAATTGCAGCCAGAAACTTCTGTCTTTCCTGACACACGTATTGAACAAGCTGAGAACTCCTCTCTGACATTAGATGCCATTGCTCTGTTGGGTACCATCATACACAGTATTAAAAAGTAATTAAAAGAGGACAATATGCATTGAGCCCAGCAGCCTGATCT